AGATTGTTAGAATGTATCAGTGCTTGAGTGTATGCTAAAGTTTAAACAGAAATTCTACATGCATTGTATCTTTTAACACACAAGTGAGTAATGCATCACTAACACTCTTCCAAAGGATATTAAGTATCTCATGTTTTCCCCCCAAGCAACGTGAATTCAAAACAACCTCATGCCTCTTCCCTTCACTGTTTCTAAGCTGGTTATCTGGAACGCAGTTCCCCGAAAACAGGTGTATAATGTCAAATTAAGTCAATTCAGTTCCATCATGATTCTATGAGATATTGACTATGTGAAACAAGATGTTATCTATCACATCTGTGCACACGGTAATGGTGAATAATGACGACAAAGCAATTTGATTCCCACCCTTCAGTTATACACATTGGAAAAGCAACTGAATTCATGGACCAATTGCTGTCGTAAACCCGAACCACACACTTTTTTAATTGGGGCAAGGGCGTTGCTAGCAATTAAGAGACAAAAATGAAATTGACAAATAGCGTAAATGAATTGCCTTCGAGCCATAGGAAAGCAATACGTGAAACGGCGTAAGAAGACACCGTTTGGAAGTAAATGATTAGCTGCTGTTTTTTTCTTGACATGATACAGTGTTGGAAAGACGATAACAAAATGGGCAGGAGAACCATGGCCTGAGAGGTTGATACGTTAGTGTGTCGTTTCCAGATCCTATAATGATTATAAAGGGGAAATCCGTTTACCATTCTTACAACAACGTCACTGAAGAATTAAATTACCGTTTTTTATCAGATTGTTATGTAAATTTGAATAATGGGATAACGTTTTTCTGAGAGATAAAATTACACGTAATGTGGATTTCTGAAAAGTTTAATGAAATGATACCATCCGTTCCTTTGTTTTTTGTTAGCAATTGAATTATAAATTAAAAAGCCATATCACTTATTTTCCCATGAATGTGTTATCTCGCGGTTGATCACGTGTTTTTTTTTCATGAAAATGAACGATCCTTTGCATGCATGTCAGATATGGTGTCCATCTCTGTGCACATCTATCTTGTCATCTCGGCCTTTGCACACGGCACGCGGATCATGTTAAGGCAACTGTCACGCCCACTGGTGATCAATAATCATTGATATCGCTCGTCTGATCAGCCAGAGTCAATTTGTCGGTAACCTGTTTAACCCCGGACACTGGTGTGTATCAACAGTTTCTCGTCGAGTTATCGACCAAATGCTAGAGTCGTCTTGCGGTGGCTCACACGATCGTGTGAGAGTTCGCAAATGTATCGATGGGTTCCAACTTAAATAATGTCAGAAAATCGTCCTGTCTTTAATGTCATTCCGTTGTGAACACATCCAATTCAGTCGGTCTTTCTGTCAGATCACACCGTGGTTAAAAATTCTGATTGTGAAGATAGTTAACGCTATTTCAATGTTCAGCTCCCAACTTTCCCAAAGTTTTAATATATGTGAACAAGTTCTATAACTGGTGAAACAGTGTTATGTGTACATATAACAAAGTTGGTTGGTTGTTTAACGCCACACTCAGCAATATTCCATCCATATGACGGCGGTCTGTAAATAATCGAGTCTGGACCAGACAATCCAGTGATTAATATCATGAGCATCGATCCACGCAATTGGGATCGATGACATGCATCAACCAAGTCAGCGAGCCTGACCACCCGATTCCGTTAGTCGCCTTTTACGACAAGCATAGTCACCTTTTACGGCAAGCATGGGTTGCTGAAGACCTATTCTACCCCGGAATCTTCACGGGTCATATAACAAAGTACATCGAGTATACTGATAACCATTAAAAAATGAGCGTAATGCGTACGGAGAAGGATGGAGGGTGTTGGGCGTAGGGCGTAGGGCGTAGGGCGTAGAAGGAATAGAAATGTTTTGTTTTTGTTTGTTGTTTAACGCCGCAGTCAGCAATATTTTACCTATATATATGACGGCGGTCTGAAAAAAAAATCGAGTCTGGACCAGATAATCCAGTGATTAACACCATGAGCATTGATCCACGCAATTGGGATACGATGACATGCATCAACCAAGTCAGCGAGCCCGACCACCCGACCCCGTAAGTCGCCCCCTACGAGAAGCATAGTCACCTTTTACGGCAAACATGGGTTGCTGAAGACCTATTCTATCCGGGATGTTCACGGGTCTTAATATAAATGTTTGACGTCCACGTACACGTATTTGTTGTTTCACGAACACCTGATATCATCACTAATTGTTTGTGATTTATAATCACATGCGTGTGATATAGTCGGAACCATGCAATGGAGCTTTCTTAAGTTTATGGAAATGGGTTTTTCACGTATATTTACATACTGGTTAGAAACAAAAATGATCTTTCTTACATGAGTTTTTAATTACGTGTCAACCTACAGAAGAACTTTAAAATTATTTTGTTAAATAATACCTTCAAATGTTTACAGTGTACCTGCACAGTTTTGTTTGCTTTTGTTACCCTTTGCGATTATTGACACTGGGAACTACCGATTAAAAGAACGCGAACAAGGGCAGGTGACTTTTGACTCAAAAGTCCACGCGATCGAAATTTAGCAACCAGCCTCTTCTTCTCGTCATTAGTAATTCTGGAAACGCCTTGTGCAATGATTAAATTAGACTCTTTTCTGATGAGACGAATTTGAGATCGCAACGTTCATTTATTTCCATTTGTTACAAATGATTGCTTCTAAAGTAGATGTCCAAATTGAACTTGATTTGTGCGCAATTAGGGAGAAACATCTGTTGTCTTTATGAGTTACAAACGCATGGAGATATCATATGTCATCACACCTTTCAAAAATACTTCAATACTCAAGAAAGACACTGGTAAATTGAGACAAAATGGTTGACACGTGAACGAGTTGATATGTTCAATCATATAAGGTTTTAGTGTAAGAAGACGACTCGGTATATCACATATGACGTCAGTGAATAGTGATCACTCCGTCTTCGCCAGATGGAAATGTTCTTCAATATGAGATTGAGGTATGTCCTTCAAGATTAGTTATAAATCGACAATGGATGATTCATGATGTGGCGCCATATTGGTGAAACTGAGTGTACATTTAACTGCAAGAAACTCTAATTTTACAGATATAAATAGACTTGAGCGCAATGTATCACTGTCAGCTTTTGATTCATGTTTATTCATCGCTGGATGTAGTTTGGTAATCAGTTATAATTACAGATCGGTCCAGGGACTACATGTCGTTGATATTATAGAACATTTCCATATCCTTGAACTCTTTTCTCTTTAACAATTTCATGAACATAAAATGCGTTATAACTCAGTAAAGCCTTCAAAACGTTTTATGGTGTACATGAGGAGGACATTCCAAGTCTGACTCATCTGTTACAAGAATAATGTCAGATGCAATTCCGTATTTTGACTTGTACCATATTTTCCCGTGTTTTTGCAGGTGAACAATTGACTTGCCTTTGTATGTGTTTGTGACGGGTGCCACCGGTAGGGTAGGATACGCTAGTGTCATGTTAGACTTTTTAAAAGAAACATGAGTTTAATGAAGGTTACAACATTCAAGGCCTCAGTAAATCTCAGCTCATGATATAGTCGGAATCGTATTATCGACTCTGCTCTTGGCAGAGATTTTATATAAATATGGAAAGGGTTTTGTGGCTTTTATTCACTGAACGTAGTGTCCTTAGTAATAGTTACATCTCTAGCTTTAAAGGTTCAGCACAATTGAACTCAAATGTCATCTGAAGTTTTAAATTTCAGGTATATTGATGATATGATGTAACAATGTTCACATAACCAATTCCCTTCTACTGATTTACCCACCTGGACTAGAAATAAAGGAGACCAGTGAGACCGCCTCATCTAGTTCATATTTTGATTGATGCAGAATATTTATAAAGATTCAGAGAAACAAAACACTCTCCACAAGACTGTATGACAAGAGGGATGACTTCAACATATCCAAAAGTCAACTTTCCCTTCATGTCGAACAATATTCAATTAGCTCCAGCCTTTGGTTTCTATATTTCACAATTTTGGAGGTACAGTCGAGCGTGCTCTTTCTACCAAGGTTTCAAAGAGCATCATATTACTCTTGCCCAAAGTTGGTTGATCAGGGTTACAACATTCGAAGCCTTTTTAAAGGTTGCAACATGTTTAATGGTAATCATGTGGAGGACATTTCCAAATTTGACGCATCATTGGCAAGTATGGTTTTATGCCGCGTTTAACAATATTCAAGCAATATCACGACAGAAAACACCAGAAATGGGCTTCACACATTGGGGAGTCGTATTAGGACCTTCGACGTGATGAGCAAACGTTTTAACCACTAGGCTAACCCACCGCCCCGAATCAGCAACGATCCACGCGGGACACGATGACTCGCAATTAGCCAAGTCACCGAGCCTAACCATCTGGTCCTTTTCAAACGGTTCATACATGTATTTGGTAGAGGGAGTGTTTCAACATTCAAGGTTACTGTGACACTGCATATTGAGTGACTGAGGGGTGTGTTCCAGTGGTTTCTGGCTAAAATGTCCAGCAATATCACGGCATGGTATAACAGAAATGGGCTCCGTACATTGTACCATTGTTGGAAAGGGAATCCGTGCCTTCGGCGTAACTAGAGAACGCTTTTACAATTATGTTACCCCATCGCCTCTAACAAAGCGTACTGGGCAATGAAATAACATAATCATATTTATTACAGTCATGGGTTGTATTTAATCGATATAATTAATGGTATATCCCAATACGACAACAGAATTATGTTGCTTTCATGTGAAATATTGATTTATATCCAAAGGTATGGGGTTCGGTGTGGCGTGGGCCGGGTTCAAGTCCCCACATGGGTAAAATGTGTGAAGCCCATTTCTGGGGTTCCCCGCCGTGATATTGGTGGAATAAGCTGCCTACAACCAAACTCACTCACTCACTCACTCTAAAGGTAACAGTGTGCGAAGTATTTTGAAATCACATTCGAAGGTTTAATACTTACTTTGATTTTTTTTCAGGCTGGGAGATCAAAGGTCAAGATATGAAAGGAGTTTGAGATGGTGATCGACTGTTTAAACTGGCTGCTGTGGTATCCTGTCGGATGTTCCCAAACACGTACCTGATACTATTCTTTTCAAATCCATACACAAGACTCTACATAGCTGCTAAACCAATAGAAATCAGAAAGGAATTACTTTGAAGAAGATGTAAGAAACAAATGGACTTTCCCAGTACCAACTGCTCAAGATTAAGCTGCTATTTCACTGTGTTCGTTGCACTGATGTTCTGTGTTCTTATTGTTGCATCGCCCTGTTGAGAGGAGAGGAAATAAACAGTTCGTACCTCGAACTCTGTTCTTTGCTTACTGAGTGAGTGTGGGGGCGGTCGGGTAGCCTAGTGCTTAAAGCGTTCGCTCGTCACGCCGAAGACCCGGGTTCGATTCCCGACATGGGTACAATGTGTGAAGCCCATTTCTGGTGTCCTCCGCGTGATATTGCTGGAATATTGCTAAAAGCAGCGTAAAACCATACTCGCTCACTCACTGAGTGTGTGTGTGCAGGTTTAACGCCGTTAACAATGTCTCAGTTATATCGTAGCGTGACTGCGTGTGGAAAGAAAGGTCAAAATGACCAGGTCGACGACGTTTAACACCTTGGTGACACGCGTGCGCGTGTGTATGGCGCTCACAGACCAAACGAAATCAAGGTGGATCTGGGATGCGAACCCAATCTGCAAATTGCAGCGCCTTAGACCACGGAGTCATGTGGTCTTAGTGTTAGCTGAATTTATACTTTCATATGGTCACATAAGACTCATGTTGTCTATTCAACCAAGAATTATCTATCGCCCAGAATGCTAGTTTAATAATAAAAGCAACAAACACCATTTCATAATCATAACAGCTTTTGGCTATAAGCATAGTAGTCAATCGTACGATAACAGCTATAAAATAAGCATGTGATTTTTTAATCTTGATCAAATAGAGATCAAATTAATTGTCGCAATACGTTGAGCGTATCCTGCCCCTCCGGTGGCACCTGTCACACACATGCAAAGACAAGTCAAGTAATAGCTGACATTATACGGGAACATATGGTACAAATCAAAATAGTTGAACTGCATCGGACATCTTCGTTTTGGGATTAATCGGAGCTGAGAATGAGTGATAGGCCACCTATTAAGATACATAGCATAGAAACATATATCTTAAGGAGTTCAGCGTCCACCCGGAGAGCGGAAGGTCCGGGGTTCGATCCCCGGCCGCGTCATACCAAAATACGTTAAAAGATGGTACTTGTTGTTACCTGTCTGGCGCTCAGCATTAAGGGGCTAAAACAAGGACTGGTCGGCTCGGAGTCAGTATACTGTGTCTGAGTGGGGTATTCGTGTTAAACTGCGGCTGGTATCCCAGTGAGCTAGCACTATGAATCGGCATCAGTCCGGACTAGTACAAACAGCCACACAAACAAACACACGTACATGCACGTCGCTATACAAGTGCAATTATCTTGGACGCGACGTTAAACCCCATTTCATCTCACCTCTCCTCAAAGTTCCCTGTTGAAGTATTGCACCTGACCTTCGGTAATACTACAATGTGTTCGTGAACATTGTCACATTTCACAAGGAAACATACATGCTACATCAGCTATATCTTCTGAGAAGAGTTAGATTGGAAATTAATACGAAGGGAGGCTGAATCTTAAGCAGCAATAACTGGGATCTCTAAAACTTATACACACCCGTCTCCAGAGGTTACGCGTTTGTCCAAGATAAATTGTGAACGCTAAAACGTCTACGGCCTCCGCCATTGTTTGCTTCACTCCATGGGATGAGGACTCCCAGTACCAATCAATGTATTCAGATCGATAGTACATACCACTGTTTGGCGAATGAGAAATGCCTCTGATCATGACATGTACCTATAAAAGCAATGTCAATACAATGTATATATACATATATATTACCACTTATATACGATGACTGAACATTAAGGGACTCTACTTGGAGATAGGGGATATTATGTAATCAATGGATAAGAAAAGACACACACCCCGTAGATTACAGATGATTTCTAACGGTCCATTACACGATGGGAATCGTTACATCAATATATATCTATATATATATATATAAAATATTATGTATATATGTATTTGTATGTATGTATGTATGTATGTATGTATGTATGTATGTATGTATGTATGTATGTATGTATGTGACACAAAGGTACAATAAACAAAATTGACCTGTGTGAACTTACGGTAAAGAAGGAAAGAAAAACGTCAACGACAGAGAACAACCAGTCTCTATTTAACAATCGATTCCACTGGGCGTGGTGTCTCCTGAGGCAAGTGACTTTGCTCAAAACGTGCCTCTGTTCACCATCAGTAAAATGGGTACCCGTTGTGATTATATGGAAATGGGTATTATAACAGTCTAGCGCTGCTGATAAATCAGCTTGGGATGTATACTCCCCAGGGAGCTGAGAATGAAAATCGAGTGCACACCGTTCAAATGACCGGGGTAATGTTAGCGCTTCGAGCCTGCACCGAATGTGCTGAGGCGAACGCAATATGAGTACCCACATTTCTATTATTGAAATAGCGGTGAAATTTATTTGAATGAATGACTGAAAATCTGTGATGACTGGTCTTCGCGAAAAGGGTGAGCATGTCCTGTTGAAACCGTATCACCGTTACTCACACAATTTTCATGAAAGAATAAGCATTTGTTGCCTAACGCAGCAAAGACACACAGTACGTGTGTTGCTATGTTATGGTGGAGATAGAAATAAGACACAAACATTTTTAAAACGAATTTAGGGGAAACACCTACGATTTATCCGCCATCTACAGTGCCGAATATACACAAAGTCATGGTTGACGCGCCATCGGTCAAGGCTGATTCCTTGGGTGAGTGAGTGTCGTTTTACTATACTTTCAACAGAATTTCGGCCATTTCATAGAGGGGCAGGTGGAACTGGCTTTAACAATTGACGTGCGTGTCGAGCCACGGCATTGAGAACTAGTCTACCCCATCCGTAAAATTGAGAGAAAGGTACAAATGTTTACGCCGCACTCAGCAATATTCCAGCTATATGACGGCGGTCTGTAAATAATCGAGTCTGGAACAGACAATCCAGTGATTTACATCATGAGCATCGATCCACGCAATTGTGATCGATGTTATGCATCAACCAAGTCAGCGAGCCTGACCATCCGATCCCGTTAGTCGCCTCTTACGACAAGCATAGTCGCCTTCTACGGCAAGCATGGGTTGCTGAAGACCTATTCTACCCCGGATCTTCACAGGTAGAATGGTACAAATGGCACAATGAACATATACACATACCGAAAAGTAACATGCTGGCAATGACGAATTTATTAACAATAATTATTAACTACAGTTTCAATAATTGAAACAATATATACAGCAATACTGGGTACAGGATAAATATCATATTTAGAGGATATATATATTTTACAGGGAGTGTGTCAAATAAGGTGTTATTTGAATTGATAAATCTTATCCTTATTTAGTACTTCAACTTCTTAATGCCTCTCAAAGAAGTTGAACAAAGATAATATTGTGCAATTCTGGACTCTGATCATCACATTTGAGAGTGTTACTTGTTACAATCCAATTTAAAGCCAGTTACCATCCACTGATTTACCCACTTGAACTAGATATAAAAGAGACCTGTGAGACCACCTCATCTGTTTCATATTTAGATCTATGCATAAAGATTCAGAGTGACAGAACACTCTCCACAAGACGGAATGACAAGAGAGATGACTTCAACTTTCCACTAGTCAACCTTCCCTTCATGTCGAGCAATACCCCAGCATCTCCAGGCTTTGATGTTTACATGTCACAACTTTTGATTTGATTGGTTGTTTTGTTGTTTAACGCCGCACTCAGCAATATTCCAACTAAAAGACGGCGGTCTGTAAATAATCGAGTCTGGACCAGACAATCCAGTGATTAATATCATGAGCATCGAATCACTCAATTGGGATCGATGACATGCATCAACCAAGTCAGCGAGCCTGACCACCCGAACCCGTTAGTCGCCTCAGTAGGTATAACCGATATTTGCCTTTATTGCATGTAGTTATTTATACCCACTGGGGTGTCCCACTTCTTCTGCATTAGATCCCTGATGAAACATCTTCTGGCAGGTTTATAATCACTGTATGGTATAAGAAGTTGTGTCACAGATTTGTCGAGTGCTGCTTTTGCAGCAGCATCAGCCATTCTATTACCAACAATTCCAACATGGCTGTGTAACCAACAAAAAAGATGTCGTCATGGCCAGTAGCAAGGTTATTATGTAGTTCTATGATATCGAGGAAAATTGGATGCTGACACGAAGTATTTTTAATAGCCTGAAGACAGGAGAGAGAGTCTGAAAAATTGAGACTTCCTTATGTTTAGTCTGTTCGTTAATATATTCTAAAGCAATTAAAATGGCCTTTGATTCAGCTGTGAAAATGGATGAGTTATCAGGTAATCGTGTTGATAAGGTTCTGGATCCAATGATAGTGGCGTTGGCAACAACATCACCATCCTTGGATCCATCAGTAAAAATAGATTTGTAAGTATCATGTTCACTTCTTAACTGTTTATATTCTTGTTGATATTGTAGTTGATTAGTGTCAAATTTCTTTAATTTGGATAAGGTAAGATCCACCTGTGGCTTTACCAATTGCCAAGCCAAAGAGGAGAGGAAATCAGGCGGAAAGGAGATATATTTTCAAGTTTAATATAGAAAATATAATCAGAAATATAAGGTTTTATTCTTATTCCGAGAGGCGGAATAAGAGAGGACTTCTTACTTTACATGTCCTCATGAAGAGGATTAAATACACAGACTGATTAGAATATAACTTTGTGATGTAATGTAGAGATAGTTTGGTACCTCGTAGGTAAGTGGCGTCTCATCGGCCTCAACGTATAGACTGTCAATGGGAGAAGTTCTGAAGGATCCAAGACAAGTCTTAGACCCTGGTGATGTATGGGATCGAATAATTTAAGGTTACTTTTACAAGCTCCACCATAGATGATGGAGCCATAATCGAGCTTAAAACGGACAAGTGATCTATATAAGTGAAGGTGGGTCGGTTTATCTCCTCCCCACTTGGAATTAGAAACAACCATCTCAATCCCATTTCATAAAGATCTTTTAAAATTCCATGTTTCGAGGTGGTATCGTACGCTTTTTCTAAATCGAAAAATATTGATACCGCATGTTGTTTATTAATGATAGCATTTGTCACAAAAGTTTCCAGTCTAACCAAATGGTCAACGGTACCCGGTACTTCTATTTTTTTCTAAAACCACAT